TCCCTTCCCTTCCCTTCCCTTCCCTTCCCTTCCCTTCCTTTTCCTTTCATTTTATTGCTGAGACAGGATCTTGCTAGTTCCCAGCTAGATGAACTCATGATCTTCTTTCAGTCTCCCAAATTAATAAAATTGCAGGTGTCCACCCCAAGCCTATTTTAGCTTATCTTTATCCACAAAAGGGGCCTATTAATGGTGCCTACTTCTGAGAGTCTGAAAATCAGATGTGATACCACTGTAAAATGCTTAAAGCAATGCTTTGCATATAATGTTAAGTATTGTTATTTCTCACATCATTCTCCCTTCTGACTTTCTTGTAATTCTTCAGAAGCGCCACCCTACCTTGTACAGAGCTTTCCTTACACTAGGTGAATTCTCCTCCTTCTAGGAACTCCAGTGTTCAATCAGTCTGAGCAACCTGACCTCAGAACACATGTACCTTTCTCAGAGAAGCCTTTTGGGCCCCCAGGCTATGCGAGCCTTAACTCTTATCTACTAGTTTTGTCTCCTTATGAAATACAACCCGAGGGAAACATATTCATTTTCTACATAGCCATACATTTTCTCAGCAAGTACAACTCAGATAAATGAAAGCTACACATTAAAGCAGAGAGGAACCAAACGCAAGAGAGCACATTACAGAGCTGGTCTCCGCTTCTTGATACGCTGGTCACGTGGTCCCCTATTCTATCTCCAAGTGTCCTGATAAGCTCCCGGATCAGTCCATCAGGGCTGTGAAGGGAAGCAATTTATTTTTTGGTTTCTTGTTCTTCTTTAGTCCAAGGTATTCGATGGGCTCTAACTCTCTCATACATTTGTGAGCGTGCTTATATATCAAGCAGATCTACTACGTCTTGCTTTAAAGGCAGCAAATCCCCAAGGTTAAGGTTAGAGGTATTTTATAAAACTTAAAGATAGGAATTAGTCTGTGTGGGTCCTTGAGCCACACGAGGACTGAGGCAGCCGACACTGCAAGCCACTTACGGGGGCTACAAGTGACTACTGCAGCAGCAGTGTGGGCCTCTGATTCAAGGAGGAGCACAGCTAGGGTATCTCAGGTTATAAAGTTAGTCAAGGTGCAGATTTGTGGGATGGACATGCAAAATAAAGGGGAATGTGTAGATTTATACTTCTAGGTCTCTTCTGCTTTATAGTGCTAATCCTAGTTTAAAATCACACATTAAATCATATTTACATGGTAGATGTTTGTGTGAACTTGTATTTCTCCTTGGCATCAAAAGAATCCTTTAGAGCAGGAAGCATAAGCAAGCTCAAGATTACCTGGATTTGAACGTCCTCAGCAGTGGCCTCATCTTGTCCTTTGGGGAGTCATAGCTTCACAGGCCGAGATAGGCCTCAGAGGGACTAAGGACTCACAGAGGTTTACTTACTATGGGTCCTCTGCCTATCTTCAGACAAGGTGCTAAGCTTTAGACAACTCACAAGTAAACACAGAAAACCAATTGGTTAATGTTAAATCCAGCTCAGGGCCACTTTGTAATGGTCTCTAAAATCTCTGAATAATTTTGAATGGGATGCTTTCCTTTGAATAAAATTTAGATCTGAAGTCCAGCCCATGACATAGAACCCTCAGCCTACAAATGGAGTTACTGCAATATCACCTTAGAAGCTAAGCATGGAGAGGATCAAGTTCATGGTGCCTTTGCCCCAAGTAGCTACTCTCAACCTTGGAGACAGCTTCTTGCAGGCATCGATCAAGATTTCTGCTACATGAACGTAAGCTCAGAGAAAAATTAGTCCGTTTGATTCAAGACAAACACCTGTATGTCAACAGTATCACCCAGAAGAAGGTAAGATGCAAGGAACATACACTGGGAACCTCAGCCACATTTTCTTCTCCTTTCCCCTTTCTGAAACCAACCTCAAATTTTGGTAAAATTACAAGAAGCTGTGAAAGTTTGAGAATGAGAAGCTATTAGTGTTGTTAGCCAGTACCAGTTAATATCGTTGTGTCTTTAGTAAGTTACTTCATTTCTCTGTGCCGCAGTTCCATGACTGTACATCCACATACACGGTATTAGGAATAGTAGAGCAGAGACATGCAGGAAATGTTGACTATCATTTCTGCCATCGCCACTGTTCCCACTGTCAGACAGGAGCAATAACTAAAGAGCAAGCTCTGGAACAACAGAATAGGAAATCCCTGGGCACTGAGATTCGGGTGGTCTTTATGCACCATCTTACTGTAGTCTTCAATTATGTACAGTGCTGTTATTTTTTTTGTTATGCTCTTCCAGTTTGATTGCTAGCAAAGAATCATCAAGGAAAGAAAGATAAGCAATTAGTGAAATCATAGATTGATGCAAATGTATGAGACTGAGAATTTCCTACTCTAAAAATAGATACTTTGGGGCAAATTGCAAAGTTTATAAGACTGGGAGGGGGATCTAGCTCAGTGGCACAAGTGGCTGCTGGTAAGCACAAGATCTAGAGTTCAGTACCTGGTGCCAACAAACAAACAAATAAACAAATAAATGTATGTATGTTTGATAAGGCTGAGCCTACTTTCTTAAATCAAGAAGGAGAGAAAGCTGTTTTGTCTTGAGTAGAGACAAATACAAATTAAAGCATGAAATTTTCTAACATGTTTATGTACTTGAATAATGTAATTTCTGTTCTAGCATCTAGTACTGAGGGAAGCAGCAAGTCTGTGAGACAGGTGACCTTTTATGAGTACAACTTTTCACAAAATTTTGACCACGTTCATATATTTATGTTTCACAAACAGATCCTATTTTATTCTGTGTTTTGCAGTGCTACAGTGGGTGTCCTCTAAGAATTCCTTTGATAGAACCAAATGACAAAGTACAGAGACTGAGAAAGACTTAAATAAATGAGACTGTAGAATTATATGCTTTGGAAATGGGTTTTGGCAGTGCTGAGTAAATCTTGGCAGGTTTATTATATTTTTGAAACACAGTTTACTCTTCTGTAAAATGGGCATATTAGTCCTTCACCAGTACTAATATTTTATCTATTAAAATTAAATTAATTATATTACTTGTATCAGAGCCAACATACTGACTACTGGATGATGCGTGATGATTTCTATATTTATTATAAGAAATATTCAAATAATTGTGTTTGTTCATGGGAAGCGGAGCTGGGAAGAGAGAAGGTGGCACAGGCTGCTTCCAGGAATCCCACATCTATAGGTTTGGCACACAAAGGCTGATACTCACTCTGTTGAAATTAAGGTCATGAAGTGACTTCTCAAAGATACACATTACAAAATTTATGAGATTGTATTACTGCTGCAATAAACATCATCCAAATAAAGGAATTCTTTCTGAACTAATTTTTATATTAAAAGTGAACTAATTTTTATATTAAAAAGACATCAAGCAAAGGAGATTTAATGATGTGTTGAGATATCATTGACCTCTG